TGTCTGTCTGTCTATCTGTTTGTCGTTGTCTCTTTTATACTCCCTCTTTCTATGTCTTTGTCGCTTTTTCTGTCTGTCTGACTGTCTGTCCGTCTGTCTGTTTATCTGTCTGCATGTCTGTCTGTCTGTCTGTCTGTCTGTCTGTCTAATATCAGTCTGTCACTCTCTTCTCATTCGAGGCCCATCTTGTTGCATGCTCTACACCAACTTCCTTTCTTGGGCTGAACTTTCCTCATCTACTTAAGCTGTCAGTTAACACCCATCATCATAATATCATCGTCATTTGCACCCGTCATGTGAACTTCACAAATTAGTTTGTTTATGCTGCATTAATCATGCATTAGTAATACAAAATCTTGTTTCTACTTAGGATTCTTTAAGGAGAGTCTCATCTCTGTCGTCATTGTCACATACCTCGTCTTGGGAACCTGAAAATCTTATATTTTGGATCCTGCAACGGTTTTTCGCAGGTCGTTCTTCCGTCCACTCGGGATTTCAGAAGGAGATCTCCTTCACTTTGGGTGGAGAATCTGTTTTGTTATGAGCTCAAAGTTGAGTGTGGGGATTACAAAAGCTTTACGTTGTGTGTTGCAGTGAACTCAGTCGCCTTCCTACCTCCTTGAAGCGTCACACAAGCCTCACAACACTATACGCGAGAGAGATGCATCATGGGGTCGAAAACAACACCTTCCCCCCTTTTTTTACTGCTGTCTACATCCTGTTTCCTCGCCCACTACTAGTAGATCTACTTATCCTGTATCTGTCTGTCTGTCTGTCTGTCTGTCTGTTGTCTGTCTGTCTCTTTGTCTAACCCTGCTGTGTGATGTACCCATTATTTTTTTTTGTCCACCGGGTTGCCGATTAGAGGTTAATTACACCAAGTAAACATTTTAAAATATTATGAACAATATATTTTAAATAATTCTCAAAAGGTCAGCTTGACCACTTTGCAAGAACGTACATTTTCAGACTGTCAAAATTTCTGATTTTCTTCAATCTGCAATGCGCATCTCTTTCTATTGTTTAACTTGCTAAGCATGTACTTTATGTTGATCAATCTTTAACCCCCCCCCCTAAAAAAAGACTTTAACAATTTAACGGATTTAACGGCAAAGCTACACTCGTTACAGATATATCATATTTTTTGTGGAGGGGGGGGGAGCAAAAAATGCAGGGCGAGCGAGCATCATGCACATTTAATACACTTATAAAAAATATATTTACTTGTATGTAAATGCAGAAGTCTTTTTATTCTTGTGTGTTGTGATAAACGGCA